GAAAAAGCACACTTCCCTTAAGGACAACGTTATGAGTTGAAGAAATATATTTATTTATATTGATAATGTTTGCTCGTAAATAAAGTTATCATTCATATTGTAAAAATTTAAAAATTATCATAAAAAATAATTTATAAATTACAATTTATTTGTTCGAATATCATTTTACTGACTTGTAAGTTTACTGTTTAAACGTGTGCTTGTAATTGGAAAAATCTCTTATCATTCCATAGCTACAGCAGTAGAAATTTAACTGGTGTTCGGTTGGTATATATTGACTCGACTACAAGATAAACACTGGAAATCACCCCGATGAATTTAAAGAGAAATCTTCCATTAGATATTCTGTAAAATTAAAGTAGTTGGTGTTGATTTGATTCAGAATGCGTGTCCAAATTGGCAGGATTCGATAGTTAACGAGAGAAAGTTTGCTAAATAAAAGTGTCTATCCGATAATCCGTGTCAATATAACGTGTGGGAATCGATATTTAATTATTCATCTCGAATAAATATTAAACGATTCGTCAATGTCGAAATAACCTAATTTTAAAACGGCAATTTTCTATAGTTATATTTAATAAATGATGTACGCCACTTTGGGTAAAGTTTGTAGGAATCTGCAAGGTCGTACATAGTGAGAGCACCTGCATTGTTAATTGAATTAGTGCACCGTAGATCAGTATACAAAGCGATATGTATATAATTACAAATTACTGAACAGTCTGCCTTAGTTGTTTAATTGGCCATTAAGTGCAGTTTGCGTGAGCCGTTTCTGCGTGGAGAAGCGGTTTGCAATATCAATGCAGCAGAAACACTAAAGTATTCATTTTAGTCTCTGTAACTCCGCAGGAAACTCTTGCCCCAGCCTCCATTCTTCCTGAATATCGCTTGTTTAAATTGTTCTAATGTTGGTTTGGATGGCGTAACTATTCATCGAGCTCCATTTGTCTTTCTCCTATCGTTTGCTAGAATGCATTACGTATCGAACTAAATATTAAAAGAAATATGCCAGCCTTCGGTTATTAAGACGGCAATTTTTTCAAAATTATGATTTCAAACTAACATTAATTATCATTTTCCACTATTATTATGCATCTCGTATATAGAACGAACGGTAAATGTTTCGGATGTGGCATACATCATTCTCGAGTTATTCTAACATCAAGTAAGACTATTTTCTTAATTTTATTTATGAGTAAAGCTGGTCTTAGGTTCTCCGCCGGGAAGAAATGTAGCCCTATTCCAAACTATCATTAATATTTCCTCTTTGGAAAAACAACTAAATTGGGTTATTCTTGAAAATATATTAAGTATTATTTTTTATATAATTTATGTGGGTTGGAAATTTTCCAAAACTTCGTTAAGTTTGAAAAAAGTAGATTTCCGAAATCGTCAATTCACTCCAATGGTCAATGTTTCCACCGAGTTAGAACCCAAACGTTTCCTTTAAAGACAATTCTGGAGTTGTTACAAATGACATTCTAATGACTCTGCATAAAAAACCAGTCGTGTCTTAACAATACTACATTTTCTATAATAAAGCCAAAACCGCTTCTTAAGAAGATAACTTATAATATTTCTTTCGTGTTTTTTTCTTTTTTTAATTCAAGCTTAAAACAAAGAAAGAAACGTAGAATTTAGCAAACGGAATTTTCCTCTTCAACTAGAAGGGAATTTTGCCAGAAATAACGAGTTTGCTTAGCGATGAAAATTAAAACACTGACCTAAATAGTCTTAAAAGTTTTCCAACTCCGATGCTGCTGAATTGACTTTCTGCTAACATTCCCTTTAATGGGTTGTATCTGCTTAATGTTGTCCCATTGGTGCCCATTATCCACTAACGTGTCTCCAGCTTAATCCTCTGGCAGTGCCTATTATAAATGTTGCAAATATAGTCTCCACGCTTGATTGATCTCCTAAATTTTGCAATTTGAATTTAATCGTTATCCAATTGGTATAACCTACGATAGTTAATATATATTAAAAGAAAAATTATTGCCGCACTTTCGATCTTAAATGTCGGCGATATCAGTTTCTCCTTCGACGAATAACTAATTGTTTTTTTCGTTAGTGGACTGCTCTTAATGATACTCGACTTCGTTCTTGCCTAACGAAGTTTCTGACTTTTTGTCACGAGTCTTCCACTTCAGCCACAAGTAGCCTTACACCAATTACAATGGCACCCGTGACCATCAGCGCACCAGATAGAAGCGTTAAGTAAAGTTTCCTGTATATCTCCTTTCCTTTATTCATCCACCTCGATTCCTTTGTAATGGACGTGTTTCTGGTAATGTTACATTACCGTTAAAGTTTTTCCTTAATGATAATTGCTAGTAATTAGTTAAATAACTCGGCTTTTCTTTATTATAGTTACTATATACTTCCTACTAATAAGACGAGATGGCGTTAAAATATTTTTCCAAAAAATGTTTTTTTTTTTTAAATATAAAAAAAGAAAGAAAATTAGAGGAAGAAAAATGTTCAACACGCTCAGCCACTTACTAAATGAAGAATTATGACTCTTCTGAGATTTCCCAAAGAAAGAAATGACATAATCAGATATAAGACTTGTGACATATGACCTGAGGGTCATATGCTGTTGGATATAATGGCAAATTAAAACGACGCGCTCAGCTTGTTTTGTCTAATAATGATGTTCCTGTATTTTTTTGCTTGGCTGATTTTTTCCTATAATATTTCACATATTTAACCGGCTAAACTGAATTGACTTAATATTTTCAAATTGAAATTTTGATTTATTAGAAGAGTTGAGTTGACTGATTTCACTTCATCTACATTTTTTTTTAAGTTTCTTTTTTTATTATTTTAAATGACTGATTTAAAATTATGAGACTTCAACTATCAATCAATCAATTTATGCAGATAAGAGGATAAATTCTAAGTGAAAAAAAAAACACTTAAAATTTAATGATAAAGTAGCTTAGGATTGTCAGGAACAACGACATATAAAACGATATTTAATAATGTTATATATTTGTTATAATAGAAATGTTTAATATTCTTATCGATGCGAGAATTTCGCATTACTTTAACATAAAAAATAAACCCCTCAAGCTTTGTAATAATCGAGGAAAATTGAAATTAATTTGCATGCAATTTCCGCAGACTATCGGCAAATTAACATTAGGAACTTTAAAGTAGTTCAAAAAAGATTCATTTTATTAATTTTGAAAGTCTATAAAGTTAATATGGATCAAAAGCACTTGTTAACGTTTTACATAAAATTATTTTATCTAAATTTAATTAATACATCATGCCCCGATAATCAAATTTTATCCTAGTAATATAATTCAAAATTGATGATATTCATAAGAATAATACAGTTTTTTACAAAGGGAAAGAAGATAAGAATTAGCATACTTTATTAATAATACAGTTTAACTGTAATTTGATAATAAAAATATATTAAAATTCGTTATTTTGATAAGTTTAAAGTATTTTAAATTATATTATTATCCTCCCTTTTAACTCAATGCCTCTAGCAAATTGTATGGAAGCGATAGGAATTGCATTTTAAATATTTATGAATAGATAGATCTTTAAATAAATAAAAAAATTTATATTACATTTATATAAATATTTATTTTTGCTTGTAAAGTGTTTAATTTTAGTTTAAAAGGAACTCGATTTTTCCTTCTTAAGTATCATTTATTACTTGTATTCAAGGAAGCAGAGCTAATCGATTAGTTACATAAAGCTGGCAGAATTGGTAATTCTTGAAACCAATAAAGTTTAAATTAACTTTTAAAGTTCCAAAATTAAGTCTTCTCTCGATAAATCGTACATTTTGATCAGACGAATGCGGAGAAAGCGAAAGTAATGTATCATTTAGGTGGGCATCAGTATCTAATTCGGTAATTCTGTTGATAATAAAGTTTTCTAACTGTTCTTAGAGGTAATATACGTTTTCCATCAGAAGTTCTGATCCTAGAAAACATCTTCCGACGTTACTTTGCAAAAGTAAATCCCGAAAAATTAAATTTTATTTTATTTTTTTAAATGGAAATGAGACTTGGCTGTTGACATTTATTTTCCTACTGGAATATATATATATATATATATGTGTATAAAGTAATATGACGCATCTGCCGTGTTTTCTAGGTTTTCGTAGCCCGTTATACAGATCGTAACGCAATGTTATTTTTTCTGGTCATTTTTCTTAGCTATTTTCTCTATTTTGGAAGAACTTTTTTCTTAACACGCTTTAGCTCTTAGCTAGAAAGCACGAGGGGATTTTCTTCAGAAAAACCAGATGCTACCAAAGATGATACCAGACTGTTTGTATCGTGTATAAGATGGACCTATTTGGCCACGGCATTTTCTCGACTCGTATTAGGTATGATGGATCCACGTCGTCACATCTTTGACGACAAAGACGCAGGTGCTGTGTCATTTCGTTATATTGAAATGCTTCTCTGGAGGATTTTTGTTGGATGCCGGAAGAAACTATATTATTTCTTCACACTAAATCTTTCAAATATAAAAATTTATATCTTTTTTTTTTTGGTCTCACGAGTTAATATCTGATTTTACTCTTCATCTAGATACATTGTATTAATAGGTATAATTTAATCTTATCGCTAGAAGGTGTTAAAGCGAATGAAGCCAGAGAGGGGGGGGAGTGAGAAAAAAGGAAAATGTCACGGCGATACCATTGCAGTAATTTAATTTCAAATATGCTAATTTGGTTAATCTTATTTGGCAATATTCCAGATACTTATGTTAAACACTAATTTGTTTTTGAAATCGAATTAAAGATTTTGATTATTTTAATGTTTATTATAAACACTTTAGTATTAAATTTGAAAGTTCTTCCTAATGGAAAAAGTTTAATAACTCTGAACTATCTACTAAAATATGTTTCTCGGTTAGTTAAAGTAATTTTCTGTTTATATTCATTTTTCTTCTTTCTCTAATTATAATTCTTCCGCAGAATTATTTAAATAATTCCTACAACTTTACCTCGTCTACACGTTAGCTCGAAGTTTTTTGCAAAAATATTTAATTTTAACTTTCATTACAACAACACTTTTAAGATGTCGTGGGCATAGAAATATTTAATGAAGTAAAATAATACAATTAACGACAAAATTATTTATTTAACGGATATAAAGTTAATTAAACTGAAGTAAGTCGGTAATTGAACATTTTTAAGGGAACGATCCCACCCACAGACATCGAATGAAGAGTTGAATAGAAACTGTTAGTAAAATTGATCGCATCAGAAAGGGGAAAGTTGTTCTTATTTCGTATTGAGGTATATCGCACCATCTAAATATTATAAATATCCAACAATTGGGATTCAAAATTTCCCAACATCCGCATACTTTTTCATTTCTATATTTATAAATTCTTCGAATTTTTCTACTAGTATACTGGATATACTCGATCGTTTCGAATATCTCTAAATTTTCCCATTTCTTACATTTGCTTCCTCGAATTAACGATTCTAAATATTGGATGTTTTGGTAAATCCATTTTTGAATTAGATCCAGCTTGGTTTTCTTCTTATTCCAATTTTTTATACTCGATAGTTTCAATATAAATCTATCCGAAACTTTTATGACCCAGTCGGAAACCACGTCTATCGATGCATCCACTAAGCGATAGACGAAGATGATTATTTTACTAAGAATTAAAAAGGCTTCTCCAGCTATATCTATCAGCATTTTTACGATATTCAGGATATATTGGCAATAATCGTATAACAGATTTAATATTGGATCAATTTTGTTTTCGTAGAAATCGGCAAGGTAAGGATGAGCTTTGAATTTGTATATCGAACCGATAATAATTACGAACGAGACGAGACAAGAGAAGATTAAAATTGTCTTTCCTAGAAAATAAACGAAATTATTTACATGGGTGTGTGGAAAGTAGTTAAAAGTAATATTAAATGAATCTTACTTTGAAGCATTCTCTTCGGAAAGGTCGATAAATGTCACCGGTAATTCTTTAACATTTCATTATAAGTAATAATGGTCAATAATAATAAAGTATCGAGCGTACGTCACAATAATTAAAATATTGTTACTATCAAGGTCATTTATTAAATGGTTTGCCATAAAAGGAAGTGCTAAGTAAATAATATTTTTTTTTTTTTTTCGCTCGCACATGCGTTACCATTATCGTTATTCTTACCAATTATAGGAAATCGTTTAAGCAGGAAGGTGGAACGCCTTAATGGTCTTCGAAACCATCGTTTGATGTGGACACGACAGTTAAACCTTCCTCCTGTTTCATACTCTAAGTGCTTTTTGCTTGAAGTAATTTTACTCTTTCGATCATCCTCCCGAACTATGATCTTTGGCCAAATGTCATCGTTGTCTATAACAATTATTTAAACTGCTAAATTGTCAATTTAAACTGCTAGAAAATAATATTTCTCTCTTTCTGCTTCTTCGGGATCAACTATGTGGGCAATTAAACTAAAACAATTTCTAGAACCGAAAACTTAAATAATGTTTTTACTTAAAAATATGTTTTGTTTTTTGTTTTGTTCTATTTTTCTTTTCATTTTGTCTCTTTCGTGTCGAAAGAAAGCTTCCTAGAATTTAATTAGTTGTGAAAACTGCATGTTTATACCTTTTTCTTTTCATAAATTCTGCTCGGGATGCGCAAAAATAATTACAAAGAGAAAATTAAAACATGTAGGAAGTTCAGAAAATCAAATTACGAATAAATGTATATTAAAAAAGCCAAGCCAGGCGAGATCACGCAAACTGCGTGAAGAACCGCAGAACTTGCACACATCACGAAGTGTATCCTGCTGTTTTAATTACGCGAACAACAAGTGTCTAGTGAAGTTATTAAAGCCGCAGAAGCTATTATCTTTCCAACTGCCGAGTCGAGAGAGCAGCAACTCCCAACTTCGGAATTAGGCGAACAACTTCGATTGAAGGCGTCCAAATGCCGCCGACCGTGTCTTTTTTTTTCTCTCTCTCTCTCTCTTCTTTCTCTTTGTTTCTCACCTCCTCTTGACAAGACGTCCGGTGACATCTGGTGTCCGACCAACTCTAATTAATAAAAGTCTGTAAGAAGGTAGCGTTCCTTCTATATTAAAGTCCTATTAATTAAATTCTCTGTAAACTGTTTATGATTTGTCATAAGAGTACGTATGTCTGTCTCCGTACTGGGATAAATCTCTCTCTCTTTTAATTTTCTATCCGTAAAAACACTTTTCGGAATTTAAATTCATTAATCAATAAAAATATATGACGAAATGCCGATTAAAAATGCTGTTTATTTGGTGTAAATTAACTCGATTAATTGAAGAAAATTGACGTATTATATAATGAAATATATGTTACGACCAATGCGTATATTATAAAAATAGAATTTTGTTAACAATTTCTCCTTAAAGAAACGAGTACAATATTATTTTTTTTTTCTTTCATTCTCACCGAAGCTTTTTATTCTATTTTCTAAACAGGAAGTTGTAAACGATCCCAGACGAGATAAAGCCGAATGGACTGGATACTTGAAGAGAAGACATTGTCTGGCAAGGTGTCAAAGTTGCTTGTGTAGTGAAAGCCTCAGGTGTTTTGATGATCGAGTCGCTTTCCATCTTTTCAAACGTTAAAAATCTGAAAACAACACTCACTTTATTCCATCTCCCAGCAATTTTATCAATTTTTTATTACTTACATTATTCAACAATTAATTAAAATTCTTTAAAATTAATAATATTCATAATATTTAAAATTAAATTCCGTTATTAATTCTCCTATACATTCGGTAATTTAATATTAACCGTAATAATGAATTCACTTAACGTTATATTATAAATCATCCCATTATACAAAGATAAATTAAACTCTCAATATTTCCTCTGGCATAAATTTTATGTAATATAATACCTCGGGAAATGATAAAATTGAGTTTGGAAAGTGAAAAATAAATTCAGAAAGTTATTTTCGTAGAGAATATCTCCTTTAACCTTCCTTTTTATTGTAACTTTTCATCGAATTGACACTTATTATCCGCATTTTCTTATTCGCTCCTACCTGTTCGCTTCTCGTGCGTGTGGGACGTGATGCCACGATCCCTTGTTCCAGACATTACGAATCGATCAAACTGCTAGGTAACTCAATCAGTCAACGGTCGATGACTTTGGCAAGCAGCAACTGAATTTCGTTTACACAACGCTTTCGTAAAAATAAGAGACATGGCATCATTTTACTGCCGAAGGATTGGATAGAATAGATATTGGATATCCACTTCTTCGGGGTTATATAAGTCGGAAATAAAATTCTAAGCTACAAGAGATGCGGATCATAAAAATTATCCCCGTTTCTTATTTCCAAATTGACAGAAATTCGAGCGGAATAACTAGCAATTACACAGAGAATATAACGGAGATGTATATTTTTTCATCGAGATTTTTTGGCTTTTAATGTATTTGAAGTAACGTAGAATTTTCTCGAATTACGCCAAATCCGTTACAGAATTGGAGAAAGGAAAAAAGTCTTCCCCCTCTCCGAATGATTGATGTCTTCCACCAAGGTGCTACATAACTTTCCTGTTTAACAGCTAAGTCAAAATGTTAATATCTGTCGATAACAATCTTTTATTCATTAAACTCTTAATTATTTTAAGCTCGAAAGAATTATTATTGGTATACCTAGATTTATAAATGAACAAAACACGAAAAGAGAGCGGGAGGGAGGAGAAAAAAAAAGAAAATTAAAACTTGTAGAAACGGAAAATTTAAGAATTGTCCAATCCATGTCAGACTTTCTTATTGTGCAAGAGAATAATTAGGGAACAATTATTAAAGAAACAGCGGGCAATTATTAACAAGAACAAAAGACATAGTCTTGTTAGGACACTAAGAAACTAATGTAGTCTATTTGTTCATTAAACCAGTGTGGCAACAAAGAAGTTGGACGACCCATTAAGGAACACCAAATCCTTATCCGCTCAGTAGTTCTATTCAAGAGGACGGACACCTCGCTGCTTGGAATTGAAGTAATGAAGGAAGGAGCTTACGTCGTGAGTAGTCGTCGAGAAAATCAGTATCTCCCTATCTCGTTCTCTGGTATTCTCACGAGATCCTATTGTCACTGAAGGAAAACGCTTCTGTTGCTTTTTATTTACTTAGAACGTGTCTTTGTCTAGCATGGAGAATATTTTAAGCATATTTATTATCTTTGTTTGCCCAAGAAATCTAGAAAGATTTAAATCCCTCGAGAGTATAACTATGTTTAAAGTTTGTTATTTATTTGATATATCTGAGAGAAATAAAATACTTATCTTTATATACGACAAAGTTAAAAATATTTTATTTGTTATCCTCCCGAAATTACCTTTGGCTATGAAATAAACGAAAGAGAAGAGTTTACTAGAAGCAGAATTAATGAATAGAATGTAAATTATATAAACGACGAACTCGTTACGACTTTCGGAAAAGGGTTCAATTCCGAAATCCATAAAGACGAGATCATTTTCGACATGAATAATTAATGTCTCTTAATTGTCAATGAAAATTGATTTTAGCTCGTCCATTGTTTTTTCTTTTCCTTTTCTGTGCATCTTCTCCTCCACTTTTTCACTCGAAATTTTTTAAAGTTTATTAAAAGCGATTAATCCGATCATCTCATTAAATTCCAAAATTTGATGAAATAAAAAACAACTTTATATTATGTATTTACATTTATTTATTTATTTATTTATAATACTCAGCATCCGACGTGACAGTCAGATGACCGGAGAAATTAATCCTGCGACTCCCGTTTCCAAGGCAACCAATCAAGAGAAGTCAACGAACGAAGGAACAGCGGGTGATTTTTTGCTGATATTTCTCTATACAGCTATTGGTAATCCTGCACTGATTAATCTTCACATAGACATCAAGACACGTGTACTGTAAGAAGTAATGAGCTACCTATGACGGTTATACTTTTGACGGGGTGTGTACATAGGAGAAAGACGACTGATCGATCAAATTGCCACGTGATGTAAGCGACGGATTGTCATTGGGCAGACGAATTTAAAAGATTAGTGGATCAGAAAAGAAAATAACGACGTGGTAAATAAGGATTCGTATAAATCAAGATTTAAAAAAAAATTAAGTTTTAATCTATTTAATTTAGCATTTTAATTGATACTTATCTATCCGAATTTCACGAAAATAAAATATAATTGAAATTCTAACGTTTTAATCTTTCACTTTAAAAGATAATATTCGTGAACACGAACGGCTGATAGAAAACGTAATGCAAACATGAGATAAAATATCTGCTTTATTGTTATAAATTGTTGTCACGAAGGCAGAATATCCGGTTTTTAATTTTTATTAAATATGTTTTTTATTAAAATATTTTCTTAAAACTTAATGAATAAGTCAGTGATTCGAATTAACGAGTAAAAACTGATATTAATCGCATAATTGCGTGTAATATAAACTATATTTAAATACATAAAACTAGAAAATAAGGGGTATCGTGATGTGTATTATATTAGTCACACATCTCTAGAATAAATTTATGATGATATATTACGTGTTATTGTCCTAAATTTCTGCAATTTATATTCCACGCTGCTACTAATTGTTTATCAAGTCGAATTTTAAGTGCTTATAGAAATTGTTCTAGATAGAGGATAAATATTATACGAATGATATGATCAAAAAGGGAAGAGAAGAATCTATAGAAATTCTTTTGATGAAGTATGTTCTAATCTTTTATTGTGTCAATTAAGTGACGACAGTTTCGTGTTTGTATCCGAAGACATCTGTTAAGAATTAATGCGAATTTCTAGCTTAATTAGATGTGAAACACGAAGAACATAAACAGTATTTTACTCCACTGATAAAGGGAGATGCTGATATCACGTGATATCAAGAAAAATTCTAATTTGTAAACGTCATTTATAAGTTACTACATACTTAATATAATTATTATTTAAATTATAAAATAGTAAATAAACTAACTTTAAAAAATTCTTTAATTTATTTGCATCAAAGTAATGAAACATGTAAAGCAGGAGTACGACTTGTGATAAAACATCAATGAAAATATTCTTACTGCTCCAATGGCTCGTTTGATTATAAAAAATACTTCTTTCAAGAACGGTAATTATATTAAAATAATAATACGACATTGTAAATCATTTTCCTTTCTGTCAGGTTATATATATTTTAATTTATTGTTCTCCTCCACTCACAGATTTTAATAAAACATCCAGAAAAATCGAACAAAGCCACCATTATTCTATTGGTGCTAGTAAAAGCATGTAATGTAATTCAAACGATAATTAAGATGTATTTTCATTAAACAACATAAAACGGCAAACAATAAATTCCGTATTTTTCATGAAGAAAAATTCTGTTTGTGTTTCCCCTTTAAAAGAGTCTTTCCTGCAGACATAAGGAGAAGCCCATCTGTCATCGCTGAATAATCGCCAAAAGCAAATGCTGCCATCTGGAATATTTTAGTAAAGG